AACGATGAACATGATGATTGTAACAATACGGTAACGCTGAACTTGATAATGGTAACAATACGGTAACGATGAACATGATAATGGTAACAATACGGTAACGATGAACTTGATAATGGTAACAATACGGTCGATGAACTTGATGATGGTAACAATACGGTAACGATGAACTTGATAATGGTAACAATACGGTAACGCTGAACATGATGATGGTAACAATACGGTCGATGAACTTGATGATGGTAACAATACGGTAACGATGAACTTGATAATGGTAACAATACGGTCGATGAACTTGATGATGGTAACAATACGGTAACGATGAACTTGATAATGGTAACAATACGGTAACGCTGAACATGATGATGGTAACAATACCGTAACGCTGAACATGATGACGGTAACAATACGGTCACGATGAACTTGATGATGGTAACAATACGGTAACGATGAACTTGATAATGGTAACAATACCGTAACGATGAACTTGACGATGAAGATGATCATATGTTGACAAAACGGATAATGTGGTCGACAGATGCCTTGGACTTTTCTGGCCTCTGTAAGGATTCTTGCTTTGCTTATCATTCGTTACTTTAAGGTTCCTTTTTTCACAATGACTGTTGCTGGTATGACTAGTTTGGTGCCTGGGTATGTTGGGGCCGGGATTCTTTACGAGATGTTCTCTAACGGTAAATGTAATGTGGGATTTTACCAAAGGAATCTTGTGCTCTTTATTCCGGTGGCTATGGGGCGTGACTGACTGACTGAGTTTGGTTTTACGCCGCTTTTAGCAATATTCCAGCAGCATCACGGCGGGGGACACCAGAAATGGGCTTCACACATTGTACCCATGTGGGGATTCGAACCCGGGTCTTCGGCGTGACGAGCCAACGCTTTAACCATTAGGCTACCCCACCGCCCCCTATGGGGCGTGAAGTGTCCCCAGTATATTGTCTCTATATACTTGTCTCGATAGTCGGTTGGCGTAAGGGAAAATAATGTTGTTCAGAGTCTGTGAGACAGATATATCACTGGATATATCAGTACATTAATTAATCCGTATATCCTTTATTTCCTTTACTTACGCTTCTTAGTCTTTTGGTTATATATGGTGAGGTGATCCGAAGAGCTCTGGAAAGTCTGCTGTCATAGGTTCGTTTACTCTGATACCACTTTTAGTTGTCCGAGGTTACCTTCATTTGTTAATGCAGGGCTGAGTCGAGCTGAGCCGAGCCGAGTTGGGCCGATTGGCGAAATGCATGCGTTTACAGGGCGATTTTCACATCCAGTGCATAATCCAGTCAAGATACTGTGATTGAAGAGCTCGTAATATTCTCACATTCTTGCTTCAAACTGACTTTAAACCAACCAAACGCGTTGCATACAAAACTTTATTTCTTTAGAAAACCAAAAAAGGATTCAACAGGGTAAACTGTCCTACAACATGAGATGGTGTGTGGTTTTCTCAAAACATCCGTTCAGTTCAATAACACGGAAAAGGATGCATGTGTGGTTGTTGCAGTGTTGTCTCGGCAACAGGAATTAGTGAAAATATTCCAGTGACAGTATTCAAATGGTGCATAATGGTTTCAAAGACGAGGCAGTAAAGCAAACGTGGGCAGAACAGTCACTCAATATAACTGCCAATTCCAAATTCATTTTATCACTCATACCACTTTTTGCATCCGTGGATCGCGTAGCACCATTGCCAGAATGGTCTCTCGTCTTTCTTGATTTGTGTCGGACATGTAATTGTAGAATTACGGGTAAGTTAAAATCGGAATTTATGTCGTTAATGAACGAGGGTGTATTTGGTAACTGACCTATTAGGAATCAGGGTTTTCGGGCGGTGGTTCGGGATAAGGCAATTTCTCAACAGGTGTAATCACTGTCAGGGACTGGCTAACGGCTTAATGAGTCAGTTTGGGTTTTGTCATTGTTGAAAATAATATTTACTTAATCTTTGAATGGTAACGTCTTAACGACTTAATTGCTGTAATCACTATAAAAAATCAGGTTATTTCTTAATTGGTTTTATCACTGTTAGGAATCAAGCATATTTTGAAAAGCCTCTGCAGATCTAGATACAGTCACGAAGTGTTATTTGGGGCTGCGAGTGTTTCGAAGCATAAGGATTTCGAGTTAAACAGTAGACGTCAAATGTAGACTCATGCCAATAATGGTTGTCACCCCCTCCCCATCCCAACCCCACACCCCCACTCCAATAAAAAAAATTGAAGGGGGTGACAACCATTATTGGCATGAGTATATATGTGTTGATCAGAACTCTATCCTACCGTCGGCTACCTATTCGAGACAACCGAGAACAACGACGAATATTTAAATTCGCTCATAAAACTGGTGCACATGTTGTCCTCGGGAATATAAAACATCTACAAATCTAGGACCAGTTAAATGGCAACAAGGCTTGGTGATGGGACACGAACTTACATATTTACATTGTTTCTCATACATACAATCCTTTCTTGTCAACTCACGCGTGAAGAAAAACAAATGTTAACTTTCAGTTACCAATGGTTCGAGACAAAGAGAATCATGATGAAACCCCTTAACTCGAAGTCTCGGTTCAATGGAAAGTAAATCATAGTTTCCATCAAGGAAGGCTGCTGTCGTTCTCAGAAGACATACCTTTTGCATTTCCAGAGGAGTTCGAGTTAAGTGGTTTCACAATATCATGAAGAGTTCGTGAATAGGAGACCTACACATAATGATTAACCATTCCACACAGCTTCCATACATCAAGAACAGACTGCATAATTCTAGACAATACATAATGCAAACGTGCAACCATTTAGACCTGCCCTGTTTTCTTGAAGTTCAAAACAAGATGCCATACAAATCAACTAGAAACTGCATATGTGTACAGTCCTATACAAATATAAGTGCACTTTAAACATATGTACATATTTGTGAAAATTGGGATATACTATAATCAAGTCGTTTTACATCCAAATATATAAAATAGTCAGAAAACTTTATCAAGCCTTGATATACAAATCTAAAGGACATTCTCCGCAAGTTCACACATTCGAACTTTCTCTGTTCATATCAGCAATGACGTCCGTATCACAATCAAATAGTGAAAACATCAACAAAATGAAATGGTGATTATTTGATAAAAGTTATCATTATTATGTTTTGGACTTTCAGATAGCAATGCGATTGTGTTCAGTCTACTAACATATTGGGGTCAATCTTTGGGTTAAATTCATTTTCAAGTGTATACTTTCTTTTCCCCGTTAGTATACCTGCTTCCACGTGTCTGTCCATGTTTCAAGGGTCAATGTACACTCATCACTTTAACGACATATACAAGGATAATCACCATTATTCTCTGCAGCACAGGTTATAATCTACAGTTATAAATAAATTGTTAACATATTTACAATACATAGCTCTCACCTATCTACGCCCATTATCATGTACACGGCATCATGCCGCCGCTGTCAAAAACAACCATTGTAAAACATAATGTATTTGCAGATATAAATGATATGATATTCACAGGCTTTATAGGCTTTACAGGTCTCAAATAGATACAGGTTTCAAATAGATACAGGTCTCAAATAAATACAGGTTTCAAATAAATACAGGTTTCAAATCATCACTGTACAGATTTCGTTCGTTGGGTTGTCGGGGAACATTCCACACCAAAATCAAAACAACGAACTTTTAAAATGGTACTTTCGACATCGAACGTGTCATTGTACACTATATCATTGTATTTTTAAGCAATGTATTTCACATCATCATCACAGCATGCTCATTATCATTTATAAAAAGCATGATATTGAATATTAATAGGATTATTGTTAACAAATCGATAAGAAAGGCACAGCTCATATTGTCCTTCTTTTCCAATTGCTGCACATGCTTGAAGAGGAAATGAAGTACCTACAAATAACACTAAATATGTGTGAAACAAACATAAATATTACCAAGTAGGTTTTGAATTGGATTAATTGTTAAAAGTCAATACAGTAACAACGTTTAACATTCGGTAAAATCGACTTTTTTATATCTCGAGAAAACAGTTATATGGTATGTCTAATTTGTCTTCTTTTCAAGTTGATATATGCGTCTTGCTTCTCAAGCTCGATGAATGACTTTTAACAAACTGAATGTGTTTTATCAATGGACCTCCGGAATCAGTAAGGCAATCTGTGTAGACACGTGCAAACATCTATCGAAGATTGTTTGCTCTGTAAATAATATGAGCTCAACTGTCGTAATGTGACTTTAACGAGCTCCACAACGTATGTCTAGCTTGCTTGTAGTCAGACCTCCTATAGGATCAGTCTTCTCGATGAGTGAGTTTAGTTTCACGCCGCTTTTAGCAATATTCAAGCAATATCACGACGGGGGACACCAGAAAAGGCTTCACACATTGTACCCATTTTGGCAATCGAACCCGGGTCTTCGGCGTGACGGGCTAACTCTTTAACCACTAGCCTACACCCCCGCCCGTCTTCTCGATGAAACACGACCTCGTTAAACCGGATCACCTTTCGAATCCGTCCACATTATTAAGGTGAATATTTAAGGTACTGAAAACATAATCTTTGATTGTTAAAATTCAACCGTGATGTCACGTCATACGATCAGCATCGTATGTTTCTAATTAAAGCTTATAAGATCCTTGTCAAGTTGGAGTGAGTGAGTGAGTTTATGATTACATAATGCCATTTTAGAAAGTGCTCAAATGAAACATATGTTACTCTCTTAGTAAAGTACAAATTCTGGTACTCTTTGGGTTGAGTCCCATCCGGGATGAGTTTAGTTTTACGCCGCTTTTAGCAACATTCCAGCAACATCACGGCGGGGGACACCATGTACCCATGTGGGGAATCGAACCCGGGTCTTCGGCGTGACCAACAAACTTTTTAACCACTAGGCTACCCCACGGCCCCGTCAAGCAGGAATTGTATACCAAACTACACATGTGTCATTTACTATATATACATGTATATATATGTATCCTAATTCAAGAGATCCTGTTATTACTCAATGTTAGAACATAGAATACCAATAAGAACAGCAATAATAATACCATGAATCTAGACTTAGATGTGTTCGGCCACGTTACTTGGTAAAGCTGACCTTCAGCACACATGTTCATGAGTTCGGTTTAACACATCTTTGAGATATATCACGGTATGCTAGATTTATGTCGTAAAAGTCAACGTGACGCTCGCCTTGACCACTTTGATGACCCCGCCAAAATTAAGGCAAATTTTGGACTCGAACCTACCATCACCAGAACCTGGCATTATAAAGGGACGCAACTCTGTACAGCGAAATTGAGCGGTTTGGCCGACACATGCCTGTAATTTACACATGTAAATCTGAACATCATACGCATAAATTAAGTAAACCATACACGTCATTCGGCTGCACTCATCAAGAGTTGGTAAGTCTTGTAGTGGATATCGACATTACAGTTTGGCATTCTTGAAGGAACAAGGTTACATAACCAGCGGATGGTACAAGAAGCGTCTGACGTCATAAGACCTTATAAGGCATTATATTCTAGACAAAATGATGAATGATCTCAGAAACCTCCGAAGCAGGAATCGATTCCTGACCTAAAATGCACATTTCCCGATGAACGCCGATGGTCCTTAATGCAGATCATGATGCTCAATGCCGCGGGGGATGGAGTGATTCGATACAGTTTGCATAGAGTTGGACGATTCACGTTGAATGACGACCAGGTTAAGCTTCAGCAGCAGGGTTGAGCATCATCGTCTCCTCGATGTCCTTCCACCTCATCACCTTCTTGTCGTGGCCGTAATTGGACCCCAGTGTGTGTAAACTAGAACCCCCTCCACCCAGCTGGACCAGTTTCCTCCTCCATAATAAACATCCGACCACAGGCATTAGGATGAAGTACCCTAGCACTAGCAGAAGCACCACTATGCTATCCACTCGCATATTCGCAATGGTGCTTAGTTTGGTGCACTGGACGTGAGATATCGTATTCCCATTCAAGAGTTCTAGTATCTCAACGCACACTAGATATGTTGTGTCTGATTGAAGGTGGGTAAATTCGAACTCTTCTTCGAGGTGAAGTTTATTGGAAACAAAACGTCCGTAGTTGAGATCCCAGCCAACAAAGATGGCCTCAATTGTACCGTTTGGTGTGTAGCCCTGGAAATTCCATTTAATTCCCATTGTCGATGTTGTGCTGTACAGATGGGTGATGGCAACGTTGCCTGCCGTCACCGTGGTTGCTGCCCGTCCTGGGAAGTGTGCAAGAAGCGGTTGTGATTGGTTCAGGAGGTCACGGGCCGGTTCTTCTGACGTCACTTCCGTCAGAAGGAGGAACAACGTCAGTGACGTCACGACACGTTTATCCATGGTTTTCAGTGACGGAATCTCTGAAAAATAACAGAAAATTACTGAATATTGTGAATAGACAAAACTTACATACAATTCCATATTTCTATAGGAGCATACATGGAGTTTTTTGGCCGTATGGTTATATTACAATATACATATGTATATATACACAATCTATAATTAGATGTAAATCTATAGATTTATTCATAAATATTTTTGATCATGTCCATATATTTATGGTTGTGCTAACTCATAGGAAATTCCCGCGTACTTTTCGTGGACGTGGAAAGGGTTTTGTTACTTTTATTTATGACAGGCATAGAAAGTGTTGTCTCTTTTTTTATGTCACTGGGATGAGGATACTGATCTGTTTATACTTCAGCGACCTCGAAACGCAATTATTCTAAAATCTATTTAAAACAAGGTTCCGTGGCTCACCTGAATATTTCTGAACCATTTGCATCAGTTATTAAGGTTACAATAAAAGCTGAAACTAACATTCAGATTAAACTTACGAAGTACTTCGGTACATAAAGTTAGGCCATTCGAGACGGATAATCCATTTACTATTGTTCGTATACCAATGCTGTAAAACAGGTCACTTGATCCCTCACTGACTGACAGATATCGACACGTCACGTGACAAATAACATACACGCCCACACCTGACAGTTGATCTCTTATGTCACTCCGAGGTGCCCTTAGCTTCGGAATCAGGTGTCCGCCTATCGAGTAAGGGCTAATAAATAATGGCTTCGAGACGCACCATCTGGTTGGATTTCTCCCTCGATGAGTGACATTTAAAAACCGGAATTCCTTTGCTGACCGTACATTAACTGCCAGGCAATATGATGGATTACTTACGCCAATCTCAGAAGCTATATGTAACCATGTATGCGTGTAATCGATTACATTGAAATGTGTTTCTTTCATGTTGAGATTCCGGTGAGCGTTTACTGTAATGATTCATGTGGTATGGGATTTAACGCCGAGTTTAAGATTATTGCACACAGATATATATAGCGTTGAATTATTGTACTTGTGCGCGCGAGTTAGTTAGTTAGTTAGTTAGTTAGTTAGTTAGTTAGTTAGTTAGTTAGTTAGTTAGTTAGTTAGTTAGTTAGTTAGTTAGTTAAGGTTTTCGCTCTAGTCAAGCCGAAGACCCGGGTTCGATTCCCCACATGGGTACAATGTGTGAAGCCCATTTTTGGTGTCCGCGCCGTGATATTGCATAATGCTAAAAGCGGCGTAAAACCATACTCACTCACTCACTCTGGTCAGGTATTGCGACCCTATACATCGTTTACACATTATGAGGTTATTTTAACATTTTAACTGTAAACCGGCGAAGACGGGTTCAATTATGTCAACCAATTTCTAATCTTTTCACATCATTTCTAGGTATGTTTTTTGTTTCGGTACTCACGTGACCCCAAATAAAGCGTTTTTAAAATATTTAATTTAGGTTTCTCAGCTTGGAATTGAGAATACACCATCTCCCTGGACGGAATGAGTGAGTTATTCCAGCTATATGGCGGTCTCCCTGGGACGGAATGAGTGAGTTATTCCAACTATCCAGCCCTGGGACGGAATGAGTGAGTTATTCCAGCTATATGGCCCCTGGACGGAATGAGTGAGTTATTCCAGCTATATGGCGGTCTCCCTGGACGGAATGAGTGAGTTATTCCAGCTATATGGCGGTCTCCCTGGACGGAATGAGTGAGTTATTCCAGCTATATGGCGGTCTCCCTGGACGGAATGAGTGAGTTATTCCAGCTATATGGCGGTCTCCCTGGACGGAATGAGTGAGTTATTCCAGCTATATGGCGGTCTCCTGGACGGAATGAGTGAGTTATTCCAGCTATATGGCGGTCTCCCTGGACGGAATGAGTGAGTTATTCCAGCTATATGGCGGTCTCCCTCCCCTGGACGGAATGAGTGAGTTATTCCAGCTATATGGCGGTCTCCCTGGACGGAATGAGTGAGTTATTCCAGCTATATGGCGGTCTCCCTGGACGGAATGAGTGAGTTATTCCAGCTATATGGCGGTCTCCCTGGACGGAATGAGTGAGTTATTCCAGCTATATGGCGGTCTCCCGGGACGGAATGAGTGAGTTATTCCAGCTATATGGCGGTCTCCCTGGACGGAATGAGTGAGTTATTCCAGCTATATGGCGGTCTCCCTGGACGGAATGAGTGAGTTATTCCAGCTATATGGCGGTCTCCCTGGACGGAATGAGTGAGTTATTCCAGCTATATGGCGGTCTCCCTGGACGGAATGAGTGAGTTATTCCAACTATATGGCGGTCTCCCTGGACGGAATGAGTGAGTTATTCCAGCTATATGGCGGTCTCCTGGACGGAATGAGTGAGTTATTCCAGCTATATGGCGGTCTCCCTGGACGGAATGAGTGAGTTATTCCAGCTATATGGCGGTCTCCTGGACGGAATGAGTGAGTTATTCCAGCTATATGGCGGTCTCCCTGGACGGAATGAGTGAGTTATTCCAGCTATATGGCGGTCTCCCTGGACGGAATGAGTGAGTTATTCCAGCTATATGGCGGTCTCCCTGGACGGAATGAGTGAGTTATTCCAGCTATATGGCGGTCTCCCTGGACGGAATGAGTGAGTTATTCCAGCTATATGGCGGTCTCCCTGGACGGAATGAGTGAGTTATTCCAGCTATATGGCGGTCTCCCTGGACGGAATGAGTGAGTTATTCCAGCTATATGGCGGCGTCTCCTGGACGGAATGAGTGAGTTATTCCAGCTATATGGCGGTCTCCCTGGACGGAATGAGTGAGTGAGTTATTCCAGCTATATGGCGGTCTCCTGGACGGAATGAGTGAGTTATTCCATGCTATAATGGCGGTCTCCTCCTGGACGAATGAGTGAGTTATTCCAGCTATATGGCGGTCTCCCTGGACGGAATGAGTGAGTTATTCCAGCTATATGGCGGTCTCCCTGGACGGAATGAGTGAGTTATTCCAGCTATGGCGGTCTCCCTCCCTGGACGGAATGAGTGAGTTATTCCAGCTATATGGCGGTCTCCCTGGACGGAATGAGTGAGTTATTCCAGCTATATGGCGGTCTCCCTGGACGGAAATGAGTGAGTTATTCCAGCTATATGGCTATGAGTGAGTTATTCCATATATGGCGGTCTCCCTGGACGGAATGAGTGAGTTATTCCAGCTATATGGCGGTCTCCCTGGACGGAATGAGTGAGTTATTCCAGCTATATGGCGGTCTCCCTGGACGGAATGAGTGAGTTATTCCAGCTATATGGCGGTCTCCCTGGACGGAATGAGTGAGTTATTCCAGCTATGGCGGTCTCCTGGACGGAATGTCTCCAGCTGGACGGAATGAGTGAGTTATTCCAGCTATATGGCGGTCTCCCTGGACGGAATGAGTGAGTTATTCCAGCTATATGGCGGGTCTCCCTGGACGGAATGAGTGAGTTATTCCAGCTATATGGCGGTCTCCCTGGACGGAATGAGTGAGTTATTCCAGCTATATGGCGGTCTCCCTGGACCTGAGTGAGTTATTCCAGCTATATGGCGGTCTCCCTGGAGGAATGAGTGAGTTATTCCAGCTATATGGCGGTCTCCCTGGACGGAATGAGTGAGTTATTCCAGCTATATGGCGGTCTCCTGGACGGAATGAGTGAGTTATTCCAGCTATATGGCGGTCTCCCTGGACGGAATGAGTGAGTTATTCCAGCTATATGGCGGTCTCCCCTGGACGGAATGAGTGAGTTATTCCAGCTATATGGCGGTCTCCCTGGACGGAATGAGTGAGTTATTCCAGCTATATGGCGGTCTCCCTGGACGGAATGAGTGAGTTATTCCAGCTATATGGCGGTCTCCCTGGACGGAATGAGTGAGTTATTCCAGCTATATGGCGGTCTCCCTGGACGGAATGAGTGAGTTATTCCAGCTATATGGCGGTCTCCCTGGACGGAATGAGTGAGTTATTCCAGCTATATGGCGGTCTCCCTGGACGGAATGAGTGAGTTATTCCAGCTATATGGCGGTCTCCCTGGACGGAATGAGTGAGTTATTCCAGCTATATGGCGGTCTCCTGGACGGAATGAGTGAGTTATTCCAGCTATATGGCGGTCTCCCTGGACGGAATGAGTGAGTTATTCCAGCTATATGGCGGTCTCCCTGGACGGAATGAGTGAGTTATTCCAGCTATATGGCGGTCTCCTGGACGGAATGAGTGAGTTATTCCAGCTATATGGCGGTCTCCCTGGACGGAATGAGTGAGTTATTCCAGCTATATGGCGGTCTCCCTGGACGGAATGAGTGAGTTATTCCAGCTATATGGCGGTCTCCCTGGACGGAATGAGTGAGTTATTCCAGCTATATGGCGGTCTCCCTGGACGGAATGAGTGAGTTATTCCAGCTATATGGCGGTCTCCCTGGACGGAATGAGTGAGTTATTCCAGCTATATGGCGGTCTCCCTGGACGGAATGAGTGAGTTATTCCAGCTATATGGCGGTCTCCCTGGACGGAATGAGTGAGTTATTCCAGCTATATGGCGGTCTCCCTGGACGGAATGAGTGAGTTATTCCAGCTATATGGCGGTCTCCCTGGACGGAATGAGTGAGTTATTCCAGCTATATGGCGGTCTCCCTGGACGGAATGAGTGAGTTATTCCAGCTATATGGCGGTCTCCTGGACGGAATGAGTGAGTTATTCCAGCTATATGGCGGTCTCCCTGGACGGAATGAGTGAGTTATTCCAGCTATATGGCGGTCTCCCTGGACGGAATGAGTGAGTTATTCCAGCTATATGGCTCTCCCTGGACGGAATGAGTCTCCAGCTATATGGCGGTCTCCTGGACGGAATGAGTGAGTTATTCCAGCTATATGGCGGTCTCCCTGGACGGAATGAGTGAGTTATTCCAGCTATATGGCGGTCTCCCTGGACGGAATGAGTGAGTTATTCCAGCTATATGGCGGTCTCCCTGGACGGAATGAGTGAGTTATTCCAGCTATATGGCGGTCTCCTGGACGGAATGAGTGAGTTATTCCA